TATATATATATATATTGGGTCGTTTCATTTTTGGACGAGTTACAAATGGCCAAATTGAAACTTACCTATATATATATAATTTTTCTAATATGAAAAATGGGAAAATTCCTATATTTCTTAATCTAAAATATTTTATATCATAGATTTAATTCTTTAATTTATTTTAGTAATACAATTGTTATTTATTAAATTTAAATTTAATTTTTAATTTTAAATCATTTGAACAAACAAACCAAACCGAAAATAAACCCAAACTGATACAACTTGAGTTAGCGGGTTTTCACTAATGGCAAGTTGATTTCAGGTGACAAACTCTCGACCTAACTAGGCCGATTTGGTTGGCGAAACAACTTGCAACCGAACAGAACCGATCCTTGAACATTCCTAATTTTAATTAAATTAATAGTCTAATATCTAATGAATAATAATAGTTTAATCTCCAATATAATGGAAATACATTAGATAACTAATAAAAATACAAAAATCACAAAAATATAATAAATACTAAAAATATATTAAATTAGTCCATAAATAGTTTAATATCGAATAACAGTTTGATCTCTAATAAATATTAATCAATAAATTATAAAAAATACAGAATTACTGAAAATAAATTTATAACAAAAATATAATAAATTAAATTTCAAAAGTTAAATAATAGTTGTTTGATCTCCAATAATTATTGACACTATTCTATTAAACAACAAAGCAAAAATAGATTTATAAATAATTATTGAAAACATATTTATCAAAAAATACAATAAATATTAATTTTAGGATATATAAATATATAATGAATGTACACTATTATTGAAAAATTATTACTATAATATTTTTTGAAAGCTATTTTCTATAATTATTAATTGACATCGTTATTTAAAATTTTAAGATATTAAATATTTATTGAATTTAATAATCAATATAATTATAATTAGTACTATTATTACATAATTCGTTATTAATTTTGTAAATATTAAATTATTATTAATATGAATATTATGAAATCTATTATAATTATTTTTCTACTTTTAAGATTTTTTTTAATTTATTACATAATTTTGTTATTTTAACTAATTAAAATATAGTCATGTTAAATATTTTGTTATTTAAATATTTAAATAATATCTAAAATATTTAAAATTTTCATTATTTAAAATTTATTTATTTTAAAGTTATTATGTAACATTAAATATTTTGTTATATATTTATTTATCTATTTTTTATGTTTTGTTATTGAAGATATTTAGTTTTTGAAATATTTAAATAATGTTTTATTATTTATTATTTTAAATTTTTATTGTTTGAATAAGATTTAATTTGAATAATTCATAAAATTATAATTTATATTGTTACTACATAATTTCATGATGAATTTTGTAAAACCATAGAGTTATTAATAATATGAATATTATTAAGCCTATTATAATTAATTTTTGTATTTTGAATAAATATTTTGAAGTTAGTATATAATTTCATTATAATATTTAAATAATTCTGAAGTTTTTTAATTGAAAATATCTTTAGATAGATGTAGATAAAAAGTGGGGGAGAGGATAAATAGAAATTAGAGATAGTTTAGGAGAGAATCTCTCTACTATATTAGTGATAATTTAAGAGATAAATTGGAGTGAGATAATTTAGGAGATAAATAAGAATTAGAGGCAACTTAGGAGAATGTGGGGGAAAGTTGTGCTACTTGGCTAAACATTAGAAAAGCAAATCCCTCTTTCATTATGGTCTGTTAGAAATAGTTAAGCGTATGTTATTTCCTTATTGGTTTAATGAGTAATTATGTGGAATGAAAAAATAAAAAAATTCAAAAATAGGAAATCAGGAAGGGGGTTTATAGCAAGGAGAGGCATGGTGACTTGGATCGTCTATATATATATATATGTATATAATGTTGCATATTCCTAGTTTGTTTTTGGTGTTTTTTGAGGCCATTTTTTTAAACCGATGCCCTATTTTAAAAGGTGTTTTTTTTGTGAGAAATTGGTGTTGTAGTGATATATAGTTAAAAGAAAAACGGTTATTGGGTAAGTTACAAAGACCCCCTTGTACTATGGTGTCAATGACAAAGTCCTTCCTGTATTTTTTTGTGACAAAGACCCTCTTAAATTTAGCCATTAGACAAAGACCCCCTTCCGTTAGCATTTTGTCAATTAGCTTCGAAAAAATATTCATCTGGCTATTTAAAGTTTTCTAAATGCCCAAACTATCCTTTTGGTACTGTTCATTGTCTTTTCCATTGAAGTGATATTGTAATTGAAGGGAGTTATTGACTTTTTGAATCAGACCTCTAATGTTAAATAGTGTCGAGAATCTTATTAGGAAGATGATTTGTTCTTAGCCCTCTCAGCGCATGACTGCTCATTAAGTACTATGTATATGTTTGGCATCGGTGCTATTGATGTGTGGGTTTGAACACTACAAGAAAAATTGGCTTTAGCAACGAATAAAACCGTTGCAAAAAGATACAAAAAACTGTTGCTAAAAGATATAGCAACAGTTTAGCCACGGTTTTTTGTCGATGGCGGATATTGGCATGACTAAAGCCTATAGCCACGGATATTGTACACTGTTGCTACAAATATACCTATAGCAACGGTTTAATAAAAAAAATTATTGCAACAGATTTATTTTGTACTGTTGCTACAAATTGCTATAGCAACGATTTTATTTGTGGCTTTAGAATATGGGCTATTGATGAATAAGTAGAAATAGCAATGGTTTTAAGTAAAACCGTCGCTAAAAGTATTGACCATTCTTATATATTGCTACAGTTTTTTACATTAATAGTTGCTATAGTATCATCTTATAGCAATGGTTAGGGTTAAAAACCGATGCTGTAGACTGGTCATCACAAAATATAGCCGCATTTGAAGCTATTGTTGTATGGAGCCTTTAGCAAAAACCGTTGCTAAAAGCTTATTTCTCATTTGAGTTTTGACGAATGCTAATACAAAAGAATTTAATTTCACATGTTCCTATATGATAAAACCTGTACAAAATTATACAAAACATTCATAATAGTCTTTGTTCAATACACACCTTTAATAATTTTTTTTTCATCACCAAAATAAGAAAAGAGAATTAACAAAATTATCCTCATTGCATCTGAATAGTTGATTATATGCACATGCATCATACTCATGTCCTTCGCTTTAGATCATAAACTTCAGTCTGTCATGTTCAACAAAAATGAATACATAAGGATTGATGTTAATAATTAGATATATAAATTAAATAATGTAAGAGTTTTATATGCATTATACATTACCATTGATTTAACCCATGCAATGTGAGATATAAGTTACTCTTTCAGAAAAACCAGAGGTTAATAAAGAAAAAGAACAAGTGCCCAAGTATCAGTTATTGAACAAGCTGCTGAACCAAATGCATTTGGAACAACATGAAGGGAGAATGGCAAGCTAAAGAGGGGCTCTTATAGAATTCTGATAATATATATGATCCTAATAAACAATATCAGAATTTATTGGTTTCCCACCATTCAATATATAAAACATAATTTAAAAAAGTCAAAGTCAATGAATGCTTGTATAATGCAGAATTTGTCTCTGGATGGCTTGCCTTCACAGAATTTGTATAATGCAGTCCTAGTTAGAGTTGTAGAGAATCAGTTAGTTCATTAGCAGTCCTAGGCACCCAGCTGAATCAGCTATTCAACAAGGAACCCAAGAATTGTGCCTCTCTCTCTCAACAATAGTCTGATCTTCCATGGTATCATGCCATGTTTTCTCATCCAAGAGATTATAGTTTGACAGCCACCTTCAACCTTTCCTACTCATCACTTCCAGCCCTTGAATCATCATTTTCAGTTGAGCCCTTAGAGAATTTCCAACATCAGTAGGGCCAGAATAGCTGAGTATAATGTTTCCATTATAATCCCTGACTACATCACCAATACCCGGAGTCTCCTGGACTCCCAAGGTTGCAACCTTCAAAGTTGAGTTTGATATTACCTACTGTTTGTGCATTCTGCATAGGGGTTCCACTCCTAAAAATCACCAATAACTTTCCATCATTTTAACAAGTCATTTAGGGTGACACCTTTAAATTCATCACATACCAATGCCCAATGAGCTTCTCCTATCATAGTGAGCTCAATCAAATCCCCACCCCTCTAGCCTTCTCAAAAATTCTGGCATTCCTTTCACCCAAAGCCCCCATAGAAAAGCATCCCTTACACATTGCCAATTGCCATAATATTTTTTCTTTGTGGTGCATCTCATCTAATTTGTACTAAACAACCCTTCAACATCTGTTTGTACTAAGAACACACACACACACATAGCAGCTTTGAATTAGCTGCCTTGAAGAAGCTACTGAAGTAGGTTTGTCTAGAGAACTTGCTTAAATGGCTGTACGATGACAGAAGTTGGCTCTCCACATTTTTTTAAAAAGCATAGCTTATAAGTTTTCCAAGTGGGCTCAACCTCCCAAAGCCAGAAGACATGGCTTGGAGGCCTTCACAAACAGGTACTCACAGCCTGATCCAGATGCTAAAAATATTAAAGAGGAAAACAAGAATTTATCTGCTTGTGAAGTTAATAATGTGATAGAAGAAAAGGCACAAAACTTGGGACATTGTACTAGTCAATCCTCCACCAGATCATCTTGTTACAGGGCTTACCTGGTCCAATTATTAATCCAAGTTTTAGTTGGGTCCATACAACCAGATCCATACCAATCTACTAAGGAAAATTCATGGTTGACACTTGACAACAATATTGTCAGACTTGCACCAGACAAAATTGTTTTGGCTATTGGGTCATGGGTCAAATGGTCCATCAATTTGCACAAATTAAAAAAAAAATGTCAATTTTAAAAGTTAGAAAGAACGAATGGTTTCAGATTATCTGTTAAGTTGTTTATATCAGAATAAGCTTACAACAATATAAGGTATATGTTTTTTATTAGTAACCAGAGTTTTATCAATTATGGGGCAAGAATGGTACAATTACGACTTGGAAGATGTAGAGAACACTAATGTGGACCCCACTAAGGTGGTCCCCACTATTCGTATGTCAGCAATAAGTTATGATTAGGATTAGTCTTTTATGATAAGATTAGGATTAATCTTTTATGATTTCAGCCTTATCTTATCTTGCCATGTAAACAATTCAGTCCTTTTATAAGTATGATACTATGTATATAAATTTAAGAGTGGGGAAGCTGTTTCAAAACAACCAACTCTCTCTTTTCTCAAAATCTTTCTCTCTCTCTCTCTCTCTCTCTCTCTCTCTCTTCTCCCTCTTCTTTTCTTATTCTTTTTCTTCTTCTCTTTTTACTGTCTGTTCAATCTTGAACGACTACTTGGTATCAAAGCATTCAATCTAGGGTTTCTCATGTGGAGTTAACCCCAAAACCATCGTGGCTATCCATTAGAAACCCTAGGGTGTCCCTAACTTTGCTAAATCCCAGCTGCCGCCCCCCATCTTTCTCCCTATTTCCAGTTGTGTTCACCCTTCTCTACAAAAAGGGTCCCAGGGGCCCTGTAGAAGGGGTTGGTCAATTCACCCGGTTAACAAGGCTAAGGTTTCTTGAGGAGTTCAAGGGTTGTAAAAGGGGAAGACGCCCAGATCTTGTCAGGAGGGGTTCCTGCAAGATGTTCAACCAATCTGCAACTATCGCCACTAGATCTGATCAACCATTATTTTCTTTTCTGTTATTTTTATTTCTGCAATCTTTTAGATTTAATTCTTGTTCATTTCTTTGTTTTGCATATCTGAATTCGTCCAGTTCAAGGCTAAGGTGTCTCGAGGGGTTCGAGGGTTGTAGAAAGGACAGACACCCAGTTCTTGTCAGGAGGGGTTTCTACAAACTGTTAGGCCGATCTGTAGCTACCGCCACCGGATCTGGATTCTGGATCGTTTTTTTTTATTCATTTCTTTTATTTCCTTTGTTGATTCCTATACTTTATTAAATTCTGATTTTTACTTATTGTCTTGTTTAAATTCGAAACATTTAATTTCAACAATAATAGATTATATTTTCTTATTTTCTGCAATTCTCGAATGTATTCTCTTGTCCGGATTTAAGTATATATTAATTTTTCACTTGCTTCCCTGTGGATACGACCCGTTCTCACCCATTTATTACATTAGTAGTTGTTTGAGAAATGGTAAAAATTATAAATGTTTAAACTGGTGTTCCGGAGTGTTTAACAACGCGCTTCCGGACACACCAAGTTTTTGTGAGGAAAGAGAGAAAAATTGAAAAAAAATTGTGAAGCTAAGACTATAAAGATGGCGAAATAAAATTTCACTGAAATTTTTAAAATTTTCCATTAAAAGATATTCCCAAATAGAAAAAGTTAAGGAAACTGATAAAAGAATATTGAATTCTGTAGAAATTGGTAGCAAGTGATAGGAGTAAAAAATTGGTCTTGTTTGAATATTGTTGAAACCGTTTAAAAATTAGAAAATACTCCCAAGTTTTCCCTTGTCAAGATAGGAAGAGAAAGATTGAAAAATTAGATAAAATTCTTCAAATCGTTAAGAGACAGTGGACTACCCTGAACAGTGTTGCAAAAAATAAGAAAAAAAAAAGAGAAAGAGAATAAAAGGTTAATGGACACCCTAGACTTAGTAACCGGGTCTCTTCACCTAAGTGTCGAGATTCGCGTAAAATAGTGAAATGTAACAATAAAAATAAGTTCAGGGGTAGAAATCCGCTGTCAGAAATAATAAGAAGAATACCTGTTTGATTTTAAAATCAAATTCATCTTATCGATACAGTTTGCAAATGGAAGGGTAAATAAGATTTTTAAACCATGTTTCAGTAACATTCAAAATAATACAGTTTTACCCCTAAAGCCCAATACCGATCTATACAGAGTTTGAGAATGTTGGAATCAGGATGCTTGATTAGTTCTGTTAGGGATGACCTTGTAATGGGAAAGATCTATATACTCAGTGTAATTTTAAAGCTGCATTGCTAAGGGACTAACAATATTTAAGTTGGGAGTGTGATAACCTTGCATTTTGATGCCTTAAGGGCATCAACACAAGGGTATTTTCGACCTTAGAATAGTCAAAGTGTACCATTTTCCCAGTTAAAATCAATTATGTGACCTCTGAGGGTCTCTGTGCAAATTATGTAGAAAAGTAATTAGATCCAAGCATGAGATTTTTGTTTCTCAAAGAAAGTATGTTCTTGACCTATTGAAGAAACAGGAAAGTTGGGTGTTAAGCCTGCTGACACACCTATTGAACAAAATCACAAGATTAGTGCAGAGGGTGGAGAGCCCCTTGAAGATAAAGCTATGTTCCAACGGTTAGTTGGAAAACTTCTCTATCTATGTCTCACTCGACTCGACATCAGTTATGCAGTTAGTGTGGTTAGTCAGTATATGCACTCTCCTAGGACTACTCACCTCCTTGCAACTGAGAGGATACTAGCATATTTGAAGAGGTGCCCAGGCAGAGGCATTTTATTCAAGAATAATGATCACATGAAGATAGAAGTTTACACAGGTGCTGATTGGGCTGGGTGTGTTGATGATCGAAGATCTACATTTGGATATTGTGCTTTTATAGGAGGTAATCTTGTCTCTTGGAGGAGTAAGAAACAAAATGTTGTTTATCGTTCCAGTGCTGAAGCTGAATATAGGTCCATAGAAAATGGTGTAGCTGAGATTCTATGGTTGAGATTATTTTTTTAGGAGTTAGGTATTGTTTATAAGAAACCCTTGATGTTGTACTGTGATAATCAGGCTGCCATCAATATAGCCCATAATCTGGTACAACATGACAGAATTAAGCATATTGAAGTGGATCGACATTTTATCAGAGAGAGGGTTACATCTCAAGAAGTATGCCTTCCATACATCACCTCCAACATGTAGCTATCAAACCTTCTCACCAAGGTGGTTTCAAGGAAGAAGTTAGAGGCAGATATATGCATGTTGGGAATGACAAACATCTATTCCCGACTTGAGGGGGAGTGTAGAGAACACTAAGGTGGTCCCCATTGTTCGTATGTCAACAATAAGTTATGATTAGGATTAGTCTTTTATGATAAGATTAGGATTAGTCTTTTATGATTTCAGCCTTATCTTATCTTGCCATATAAGCAATTCAGTCCTTTTTATAAGTATGATACTATGTATATAAATTTAAGAGTGGGGCGGCTGTTTCAAAGCAACCAACTCTCTCTTTTCTCAAAATCTTTCTTGAGCTCTCTCTCTCTCTCTCTCTCTCTTCTCACTCTTTTCTTATTCTTTTCTTATTCTTTTCTTATTCTTTTTCTTCTTCTCTTTTTAGTGTATGTTCAATCTTGAACGACTACTGAAGAAATGTCCAGCACCCCTTGATTAAAAATTTAAAACTTAAGATCTCCAACCTTCATTCTAATATGAGTCTGCAACAGTGGTCCAATGCTTCATTGATCTTCAGCTAGAGAAAGGGGAGGTGTAGTTAACTTTCAGACTTTCTTGAGCTGTAAGAGACTCCAGAATCCCTAGGTTGAAAGAGGTTCAAGAATCTAGATTATGTTATGCAAATTTCAAGATTTCTAAGCTTTTAAGTGTGTTTCCTGTTATTATTAACTCAAGACACCATATCTAAAATGAAGAGAATGGACTCCATGTACTGAAAACCTGTCAGTCAGGGATGATGTTGGAAGGGGAAATCATGTCATGGTTGTACAACATATGTATGATTGAGATTTTACACAATGTCATGTAACATAGAAGTGAAGAAAGCACATTGCTGGCCAAGGAAAGGTCAAATGAATCCAATGGGTTATTGCCATATTATTGAAACTGTTGCAATTAGGGGTCGTTATCCTAACTCATGTTTAGTATGATTGGTTTATCTGAACTTCTTTTAAGTGGACAGAAACATAAAGGGCAGCCCAGATGAGGCTCCCACCAATGTGGGTCTGGGGAGGGACTGATGTATGCAGCTTTACCCCTATACATACAGGGAGGTTGTTTCCAAGATTTGAACCATGGTCACCCTGGTCAAAATGGAGCAACCCTACCATTGTGCCAAGGCCCGCCCTTAAGTGGACAGAAATATGCAGGGGTAAAATAGGAGCCCCTACTTCTTTATTCAATGTTTGCTACTTCTAAGAGCAAGCTGGAAATATGTTCCCAACCAAGCACAGAGAAGTTTGTCTAAACTGTTTGAAGATTTCATCTTGCTTTTTCATTCTTAAATATCAGACCAATTTATATGCAACAGAAAATAGAGAATTAGGAATAAAAGGGGAAACTCAGTAGGCTATAATAATTTAAAACAGAGATTTTTATCAATAAGAAATTAAGAAAATGTAAATCTTATGTATTTGGGACAGCTAGGCACCAAATGTTTTGGGCAAAATTATAAAATTATAAATTTATCCTTGGGATGGAGAAATCTCCCACCTTATTGTAATACTTGAGGTTAGATTTAATAAAATCTCCTCTTATTGATAAAAAAAAAAAAAATCTTGTGTATTTGGGGGCTTGTAATATCTGAACCAGATGTACTAAAATCCTCTCTTTGAATTAATAAAACTTTCTTCTTTACTGATAAAAAAAGGGAGAAGAAAGAAAAGCCTGAAATTAGAGAGATAGAACAGATCAATTATATGCAAATATAGAGAATGAGGAACAAAAGGTGAAATATAGTATGGAGGGAGGGCAGGAGGGAATAATGCCGATAGTAAAAAAGGGAAATAAATCATGGAAGAAATCAAGTTTCTTCAAATTCCTAAACCAATTGGTTGATTTGTAATAGGGTTAATCATTTTTTGGGGGGTCATAATAACAGTTCAAACCAAAACTCCACTAAGCCCATTTATAATTTGTAAGGACAGATAAATATGGTCTTTAACTCTTAAAATAACTTTACAATGCCAATTAACAATCTAAGTCAAAATTAAATGAACAAAAACCAAAAGCAACTCCAAAATGTACAATAAAATAGAAAGGTTGCAGTCTTGTCAATTACCAACACTCCATTAGTAAAATGACATTGGCCCTCTCAAATCTCATTGGATTCCAATATCTTGATCTTATTGGATAGATAACTGAAATACACATATAATATCAAAATCAACTGAAATAATAAGTTTTGACACTCTAAACTTAGACAACGAGAAAGTGATATGATTGCAACTTCTGTTTCTCTATATTTTGTAAACAATCTAACAACTCTTAAAATAGCTATGATTAGACATAATTATTGAACCATAAATTAATAATCTAAAAATAACTTTAAAAAGTGACCCAGATTAGAGAAACAAAAGAAATCTACAAAGCTTCTGTTAGAGAGATTTAGAGAAACTTAGGCAGTATTTAATGATGTTCCAAGGGAATACTCTGGTGTTTCCTGTTCCTGAAACATCAGAAACATTCCTTAGGAGCATTACCAATTGTTGCCTTGATTTCTTTCTTTATGGTATCTTTCCCTTTCTTTTTTGTATGTTTTGCATCAATTTTGTTTTCAATATCCATTCTTTCTGAACTTTGTCTAGTGTGCTTGTGTGCAGCAGAGGAGATTGTGGAACCCTCATTTGGATTCTCTTCTGTGCATACCAATCCTAGATCAAGAAAGTGGATACAGAAATCCTGTGTCTTTTTTTCAGCATTTGTTGCCATCTTCCTTGTATGCTTCATTCTTTAGTGAAATGTCCATTACATTCTAGACTTAATTAGGAAATGTAGAATTAACCCAATTCTGTAAGTTGCAAGTCTGTATTCAATTGGGTAATTTTGATGTCATATTGCCATTTAATTGAAACAAGCAATATAATCATGTATTGAGACTACAGGTGTGCAGACAAGATGGAAACAAGTGGAATATTCTAGCAAAGAATTAGTGATTGTTCAGTCATTGGAGAGAGATTTGGATTATTTTGTTACATGGTGCAACAAACCAAATGCTGAACCAAACCAACTTGGACACCTTGAGAATTGAGATCAATTTGATTTGTCTCTGAATTGTAAATTACAGATACAACAGTAAAGTCTGATTCCTCAAAAGTATAAAACTGAAACGTGCATTGAAAGAATCTTGCTTTATTACAACCAAGTGTTGTTACACCTTTACCATCCAGACATATTATGTTACTGCTGCAAACAAGTAGCTAGAAAATGACCCAACATGAAATATAACTTGGGAAAGAAAACAAGGAATGAATAAATTCTATTTCTCAGCAATCAAGTTGCTGAATTAAATAGAAAGGAATCTATATATATTACTATCATGGAGATATTTATTGATTATGAAAAGTAAATCTAAAAACTAATGCCACTTACAGCTTAAACTTATAACAAGGGTGATGAATGAATTGTAAAAAATTAAGAACCCATGGCACTCCAATATCAATAAATCTTATAAACATTAAAATTAACCCACATGGATTAGCATATTCTTCATGACCATATAAAGCATATTAACATTAGAATTAGAAAGAAAAACAAAAAATGCACGCATCTATGTGGTGGATTTATTTAATCCTCTAAAACTCCTCACCATGCTGGTTAGCATATCCATAGCACTCCAATATCATATAAAGCATGTCCATAGCACATTCCATGGCATTCCAATATTAGAAAAGATAGCCAAAAGAATAAACAAATTAAATAATGAAGTTGTTACTTACATCCTTTTCTAAAGCAACCTAGATGCCACAAAGCCCACACAAAATGCCTTATGGATATAATCAATCCTATAAATTCACAATAATCAATATAAGTAAATAATCTTAAGGATAGGATAAAAAATTTTAGTATCAGAAATGAAATCATTTAAAGGAACCTAGGAGTAGATATAATCATCTATTCTTCACCATGTTCAGGTATAATCATCTACCGTTGCTCTTTTTTTTTTTCGGATTCCATTGACACAATAGGCTTAAGGCTTAACATTTGATAGTGTTCTATCATCAACATTTTTTGATGTCTATTTACATTCAAATTTCTGGGATCTGAATCATATGTACATCTCAAAGGAACCTAGGAGTAGATATTGTTCGCCCCCTGACTCGTGCCTTTCACACTTATTCTCAATTCGAACTGCCCCTCGCCCCCCCCCCCTCTCTCTCTCTCCATCTCTCTTTGCTTCTCATCCCCAACACTATCAAACACCTCCCTACACTTCTTAGATTAGATCACTAGATTGCTCTGCATCTGCTAGGTCTTCTCTCTCCTCTCTCTCTCTCTCTCTCTCTCTCTAGATCTCTCTTGCACAAATTTCCTAGAAATTCCCTCACTGCCCTCACCTATTTAACCATTAGTCGCAGGCCCACCTACCCTTGTCATCCAATAAATTTGTAATACTTTTATCTACTGGGCTTCTCATGCTAAGGTACAAAAACCTTAGAATGATACAATACCTTTCATGAGTTGTCATATACACAGGGCTTTGTTTGGAATCTTCCTTCTTCTCCACTCATTCTTCAAACTTCATTCACTTTGAAGTATGAAGGTTCATGTCCCATATGTCCATCATGCCATGCCCATCATGTCCTTGTTCTTTGTCCAGTAGGGAGCCTACTTGCTTGACCATATATTGCATTGAGATCATTATGGTAGAATGATTCAGTACATTATTTGGTGTACTCCGTGCCCATTTCTACAAGCTAGTCATTATTTTCACTTCATATATTGTTATTATGTAGAGTTTGGGATAGGGCTAGCACTAGGGAAATTTAAATTCTTTCTGGGTCCACAATTTTCATCACATTCTATATAAACATTGTTTTTTTTTCCTCACTTATACCCATTTCAATCAATTGCAGCTGCTTACACCACACATTTGGAATATTATGGTAAAGGGTGGAAAGAAAACAAATTCGTATGCTTAGCATTGCTCAACCATTTCCCATGAGGAGTCGTTTAAATTTCTGGTTCTGGTAATTCACCTTTAGTCTGAATTTTGATTGAAGATTCAATTTCAGCTTTCTTACTCAGACTTGCCCTGCACGTTAATGTTAAAATTGTAATTTAAGGTGGTTGTGGAGAGTTAAGGAATTGATTTCCATTAATCTTACTCAGACTCTAGGAAATGGACCTTGTAGGGAGGTTATAGTCAATATTGATGATACTGTAGTTGGGGCTGTTCGGCCTTCTACTATGATATACACTAGAGGGATCAATCCTCTGCTATGGAGATCCATTTCTGGAATTGGTAAGCATTTTAATTATTTTAGCCCATTGGGGTGTTGTGTAGGGTGCATAACTATTACTCTTGTCTGCCTCATGAGCAAGGTCCCACCAAGGAGAATTATTTCAGAGAGAGAGAGGTGGGGGGAGGGGTGGAGTCAGAACATTAACAAGGGTGATGAATGATTTAGACCTAGGTGGATCTGGTGGTTGACAGTGGAGATCCATTTCTGGAATTGGTAAGCATTTTAATTATTTTAGCCCATTGGGGTGTTGTGTAGGGTGCATAACTATTACTCTTGTCTGCCTCATGAGCAAGGTCCCACCAAGGAGAATTATTTCAGAGAGAGAGAGGTGGGGGGAGGGGTGGAGTCAGAACATTAACAAGGGTGATGAATGATTTAGACCTAGGTGGATCTGGTGGTTGACAGTTGCAGATAACGAATGGTGGGAATAGGGGGTTCGAATTTCTATACCCAAACCCGGCCAACCTGTTGGAACTTGGAATCCATATCTTTTTGTTTCCACCACTTCATCAGGTTTGGATTGCCAAGTTGTGGGCCTACTGTACCATTAAATGAATAAACAATCCATTGGGGTTTGCAAATATTGCCCTACCATTGGAAAAACCACATTCATTATCAGAATTCCTTCAAGTTCTCTAGTAATTTGGCTTCAACTTCCTTCCAATCAAAAAATAAGGTTGAGATTTACATGTGAGAGAGAGAATTAGCAGGCTTAGCATCAAAACAAACATGGGCATGGCTATATATGAGGATATCTATTATTATAATGAGGTGAGACCCCACAAGCCCAATAAACAATAGAGTAGGTTCTGATCATTTACTTACAAATTAACCCTATAATGTGTAGGTCAGAACACAGAACTGGGTGTGTTTTCTTATCAGGTCAGGACTCAGGAAACTCAACCTGATCTGATGACAGCAGTAGAAGTAGTGAAGAGTAAGTACTATGTTAATTTTCCAGGCAACAGTTGCCGTCAGTTGTTTTACACCCTTACATATGTACAATTCCCCAACTGAACCTGTAGTTTTTTGTTGCATCCAATGATGTTTTCTGCTGCAAAAGTTCAGTAGTTTGACTCATATAATCAGCCACTTGTACAACTTTCTGCAGACCATCAGAAGTTCAATTTCATGAAATATTTTGTTGCATCTTCAACTTCTCCCAACTCAAGATAACATTTTGCAGCTCTGAATTGAACCTTGAGATATTCAAGCTCTATTGCAATCGCTGCCATACAGTCCACAAGTGCCTCTCTCATCCTTCCAAGAGGCATCCTTGTTGCAGCACAATTGCTATAACACAGCATCATAGCATCAAGGCATGCCATGGACTTCTCATTTGGAGAAACACAAGAGACATCCATATAATCGTAGTCTATATAAGCTATAACTGAAGGAACTCTAATGCATAATTTAGAACATTGAGCACAAGCTTAGATAATAACACACCTTTGGGACCAGGCTGCAATCTTGTCCTCTATACCAGTAACAATGGGATCCTAAACAAAAAATGATAATAATAACAATGAATTTGTAATGCATGTTAAGAAAATGAAAATTTAGTTATGAAGAAAGAAAAGGCATTACCAAGGTACCATAATTCTACAAACTAGTAGATGAGAGCAATAAAATTTTCAGAAAACATGAAATCAGTAAATAGTTTATTAAAATATATAAGAGAAAAGGGCAAAATATTCAAAAATCTTAAATTCCATCACTTCACCTAATGCATATCAACAACTTCCACCATTGCAGTAAGCCAACTATGGAGACAACTATAAGCACAGAACAAGTGCAGTGCCAACTGCCAAATGCAAGTTAATAAGATTTTATCAGAAACCAAATCTAAAAACTGGCATCCAAGTAGAATTTAGCCAACTTCCAAAAATGGAAGGGTGAAGAGGTGGTAAAAGTATCAGTAAAATTTTCCTAAACATGGGTTTGCTTCAGAAAAAAATAAAAAAAATTCTCGTCAATCTAATATTCCAACTTATGAAACTTCACAAATAAGAAGTGCTGCCTAGAACTACTAGTCCTGCATATAGTTCCGTGGGGAGGCAGAGAGGAAAGAGGTAAGAGTTGGGAGAGAAGACGAAACAACAGTAAAGGGTTTTTGGAAAGAAGAGGGCGTTCTGTCTTGAGATTTGGGAACGTTCAACCTTTAATTTTGGACTTTTTAATTAAAAAATTCAAATAAATGAAGATAACGGTTTTATGTAGACCCCTATTCACTCTAGGCAGGGAAGAATTCCTGCCGACAGTGGACAGCTAAATTTTCCTCATTATTTAGAAACCACCAGAGGAAGTAGCCACGAAGGGGGAACCAACCAAACAGCCTCAGAACTCATCTTTCCTTTTGCAACCAGCATATGAGTTGTAGAGAGATAGAAATACGGGCAACAGAGAACAACTTGAAATTTACACCTGATAGATCATATAAATCATGAAACAACAGATCAAAAGATTTCTGGTTTACAGTATTAAAAACATTGACTGAATCACAGAAGATACTAAGTTCTTGAATTCCTAGGCTTAAGGTAGCAAAGCAACGTACACTCTAAAATAGCCACAACTTCAGCGTATTCAGCAGACAGAAGCGACTTCACAGGATCCGCAATTTGCAAACAAAAAAAAGGCAATTTGCATTAGATGGGATGTCTACAATGCTTTTCTGCACGGTGATCTCCATGAGGAGGTCTATATGAAACCTTCTCCAGGTTTTTCGGTCTCCGGGACTGCAAAGGTATGCAATTTCCGGAAATCTTTGTATGGTCTGTGGCAAGTCCCTTTGGGTTTGAACAATCCTATTCCAATTATTCCTTATTTATATATCGCAAGAATGGGCTTGTCTTGCACGTCCTGGTTTATGTTGATGACTTAATTGTTGGTGGGAATAACCCAGAGTTCATACACAAATTTAAACAATATATGAATCGGTGTTTTCACATGAAGGACTTGGGTGTTCTTAAATATGTTTTGGGCATCGAAGTAACTCGCAGATCATTGGGGACATTTATTTGCCAAAGAAAATATGCACTTGATATTATTACAGAATCTGGTTTATTGGGGTCCAAACCTGCTCCATTTCCTATTACTCAGAATCATAAACTTGCCCTTGCTGACGGAGCACTCCTAGATGACCCTGAACGATATCAACGTCTTGTGGGCTGTTTGATTTATTTAACCATTACACGATCGGAGCTCAGTTATTGCATCCATGTCCTGGCTCAATTTATGCAGTGTCCTCGTGTTGATCATTGGGATGCGGCATTACGTGTGGTTCGTTATCTAAAAGGACGTCCTGATCAAAGAATATTTTTGCATTTTGATAGTGATCTGCAATTATATGCCTATTGTGATTCCGACTGGGTGAATTGCCCTTTAACTCGTCGCTCTCTTACTGGGTACTTTGTCATATTAGGACATTCTCCCATCTCCTGGAAGACTAAGAAACAACATACTGTCTCCCGGTCCTCTGCCGAGGCTGAATACCAGTCAATGGCTACTACCAGTTGTGAGTTGAAGTGGCTGAAAGGTCTGTTGTCGTCTTTGGGTATATCTCATCCTCAACCTATACGCTTGTTTTGTGACAATTAAGCTACTCTGCACATTGTTGCGAATCCTGTCTTCCATGAGCAAACCAAACATATTGAAGTTGATTGTCATTTCATTCGCAATGAGCTCCAAGCCGACACCATTGCACCTTCCTTTGTACGTACCGGTGAACAAGTTGCCGACATTTTCACAAAGGCTCTTGGACAAAAACAGTTTGATTTTTTCCTTCCCAAGCTGGGCATTCGCAATCCTCATGCACTACCTTGAGGGGGAGTATTGGACAAAGATAGACTCGCGAGAATCCCGAATAAACTCACGAGAGTCCCAGATAGGAAGTCTTTTTGTTTTGCTTTTCTTTTTGGATTAGGAATACCTTTGTTTTTATAAAGTTTTGGGGAACAAGGAACTCCATCGTTTGTAATATAAATATCATAAGGTATCAATGAAAAAGGCATGACCTTTGCTTCCGAAATTCTTCGGTCAACGACGACGATGCTAGTGTCTCCGCCAAGGTAGCAGAGAAATTTGTCGTGAGGGCGAGGAACAATGTGACCACCGTAGCTGCACATTAGGCGCAGTTTGTAATGGACCAAATCCGGTCCAGTTGACACACATAGCTCCAATTATTGGTGTGCCTCCAATCTTAACAACACTATTCATCAAGTTCTTGTCAGATAAGCTCTGTATCTGAGTCCACGTTTCTAATTCTCATGGGAAGTTTTGTTCTTTTTCTTTTACTGAGAAGACTGATTGGTTTATCACTTCATTTTAAACATCTTTATGTAGTTTTTCCCTTGTGTGGTTCTTGAGTCGTTGTTATAGGGCTTAGGAACTTCAACTTTGTTTGTTTTATGCAATCCTTGGATGCCATACAGTGAAAGTGAATGGCATCGTTGTAGCCTTGTGCATTCAACCGATGCTTACTGGTCATGGTCTAGAAACTGTAAAAAGAGACAAGAAGCACATCTTTTCATTTTAAAGCAACCCTAATTGAATCCAGCACTAGAGATGCTTACCGGTCATGCCTGAACCAATGAGTAGCCTGATAAACTTAATCCCAAAGGTAGAAGACAATGAATAATGTCTTCTTTAAAAAGGGTAATTTTGATACTTTTAATAAATAAATGACAGTCAATTAATGATAGTGATAAGGACCCACTTAACACTTTTTGAAAATTTAATTACTGTAGTATACATTTGAAAGTTTGAATACTGATTTAATACTATCACTAAAAGTTTAGGATATTAAAGTGTAATTTTCCCAATCTGTATTTGGGAACAGATGACAAGTTTGGAGCGGCAACTACTGGCTTACCAGTCGTTGTATATGACCATGAAATGAAAGAGCTGCAACAACTCATAGCAGAATAGCACCATAAATCTACTACAGGAGTACAACCCAAAACCCAAGAAGACCAGACACCCAAATTATGACTCTCTCTCTCTCTCGTCTACTTCATTCCGAACTTCTTGAGAACCAAAACGAAGTCGTAGAGACGTAGACCTTGTGCTGGTCAGTGAGAGATTTGGACACGCTCTCCTTCTCCATGCACTCATGCAGCGCTTGGCCCAAGCGACAAACTTTGGGCAGTGAGCTTCAATGCTGAAATCCCCACATCTCCATCTCATATGCATAGAACCAGCTGTAGAAGGGGACAAGGGTCACGTCCACGAAGCCCAAAGCGTCACCTCCGAGCTAAGGCTTGTCTCCGAGCTCCCCCTCCAAGAGCTTCAAGCACTCTATCTCTATGGGCTTTTTCTTTGTTGCCTCTTGGTCCCCTTCCACAATCGTAAATCTTCTTGTCTATGGCCCAGAACCTGGCTTGGGCGCGCTTGTATGGATCGGTGGGCATTTATCTTTCCAGACTTCATCAATGTACTGAATAATAATGATCGATTTGCAGATGGGCTTTCCATTGTGAATCAAAACAGGGATCTTCTTGTAAACAGGGTACATCTACAGCAGCAGAGGACTCTTGTTTGGGAGGTCCTCATCCCTGTATTCATATTTGACCCCCTTCTCAGCCAAAGCTGAGGATAAGCTCCGCAAAGAAGAGTTCATTGAACCAGCGAGGGAACCAAAACTCACACATGTAAATCTTCTTATAGATGGCCATGATGTTCTGATCATGGAAGGGAAGATAACCAGCCATCAAAACAAACAAGACAGATATCCAAGGTATTAGTATTTTTGGGTCAATTCGGTTTTAAGAGAAAAAAAATAGAAAAAATTTAGTGGGGTATTATAATAATTTAATGACTTTCGTTATGTGACTTAATAATCGAAAGGGTCTTTGTCTAACGGCCAAAATTCAGGGGGCCTTCATTGCAAAAAAATGTATAGAGAGATTTTGTCATTGACCCCATAATACGGGGGTTTTATGATTAGTTACCCCTTTTTTAGTTTGGGACCATTTCTATCGTATAAGCTTTTTCAATGTCACATCAGCATACTATTGCAACATATGCTAATGTTAGGATCCAATGCCGCTTTCTTGAAAAATGGCGCCACATCAGTGCCATGTAATTCATTGTTTCATACCATATGAAAAAATACACATTTTTTACACTAGTGCTAATAATAATACATAGATATGGCATTAAAAAAAAGCCTATGTGGCAAACCAGCAATGGTCCCAAACAAAAAAAAAATGTTTTATGAAAAAACAACATAGCAATGCAGTACCATTTACTTAAAAAAAAAAACAGTTCTTAGTAAATGGTATTGGTTCCAAACATGGCCTAAGAAGTTTTCCCGCACCACACCTTTACGGATTTCTAAGGTGCAGTCTGAGCAACCATTTTTTGGAAAAAAATGTTTAACTAAACATCAGGCGTTGTTTGAAAAAATGGATTTCAGATGTGATACCATTTATCAAGAAAACGACATTGATTTCAAACACCGACTTATGTTGTGTTTGATACCATTGCCACTTTTATTTGCAACATTTCAGGTTGATCAATACAAGTTTTATGAGAACATATTTACTTCTACCACGAATGGTTTGATTTATGAATACAACATTCTCGAAAGATAAAATTTGGTGTTGCTACTATAAATGCCAATACCCAATCCAATGACTATACTTTTTAGTGGAAATGGTTATTTGGTGTGATGTGATAATACAATTTCTCAAAAATTTGTATTGTCCAATTTAAAACGTTGCAAGTAGAAGTGGTAATGGTACAAAAACTACCTTAATTTTTTGTGTGTTGTTTTCTCTTTTTCGTTTTTTTGTTTTGTTTTGTTTTTTTTTTTTTTGGCTTGTTGCATTGTGTTATATTGGTGGCAAGGTTCAAAATATTGTTATGTATCAGGGCCTACAGGGGGTGTATCAGGTCAGGCCATGGTTCAAAGGGTAGTCGGGATTTAAACCGATCCCTCTGAACTGGTTTTGAAAAAAATAAATAAAACACCAAAAGAGCAACAATACAAATCGATATTTAGAACCTTAGTCAGTGGTTTGGTTGTCTTTCTTCTTTCTCTTCATTCATTCACATTTTCTTTCAAACAAATAAAAAAGAGAGAAATGAGAAAAAACTGTGATTGCCATAGGTAAAATTTGTTATTTGATCAAAACTTTGCCATACAAAGTTCATTTACATTAAGACATTTCCATCTAAAGAGAAGACTAAGCCATGGTAGAAATGGCAACCAGGTGGGTTCGAGGCGGAGATCATATTTCTCATCCCCAACCCCGATTCTGAAATTAACCTCCATCCCCATCTTCGACCCCCGATGAGAAAAAAATTTGTCCTCCATCCCCGACCCCTGACGGGGATGGGCTCCTCGTAGGGACCCGAATCCCCGAAGTGTTTTTAGATAATAATATTTTTTTTGAAAAATAAATTTACATAAAATAAATAAAAATTTTAAATTATAAATAATGTTTTAAATATGTTTTAATGGGCGGGGTGGAGACCTCAATCCTAATCTTTAACCTCAACCCTGACTAGGGATTCCGATTAATCCCTATCCCTAACCCCACCCCGACAAAACAATCCCCATCCCCGACCTGATGGGGTCAGGGTCTCTAGGAAATCGAGTCCCTGTTGGGGATGGGGAAAATTGCCACGCCTAAGCCAGAGAAAACCCCTATCACCCTATTTATTTATAATTGGGATGAAAATTCTCAGTTTCTCACACAATCAATCAAAAAAGAAATATCTCTTGGAAGTTGGAAGTTTAGAAGAAATTAAACTCAACAGGGACTCCCAAGAAATAACACATTTGCTTTTTATAGATGATTGGATCATATTACTAAAGCCTGGGTTCAAACAAGTCAAACACTTGCTTCAGGTTAAAAAACCGACTACAACAAGGTCAAACATCTTATTTAATAATAACGTTTATAGACAAATAGAAAATTCATCTCATGACACCTGAGTTTGGAAGGAGTACAAATGCAAATATATAGAGTGCAAAACTTTATAATTTATATTATATTCTACGTATTTATGCTGTACATATTTGCATTTGTACTCTTTCCAAACTGAGCCTAAGTGTCAATACAAATTTTGAAATAGACAGATATTTGAGTGCAAAGCTTTGTCTAAGGAAAAACTTTACTCAGCAACACAGATATCTCATTGAGAGAATCAAATCAAAAGCAAAGTCATGGATAGCAAGATTGTTCTCTTAAGCTGGCCGCACAATTCTAATTTAATCAATCACCCAAGCCATTCCTACATATATCATGTCCACTACCATATTGTCAAAAATTCTTATCAACAAAATTGACAAGATAGGGATTTCATGGCCAAAACTTTGTGAGACAAAAGCTAAAGAAAGAATAGACTTAAAAAAAAATAAAGTCAATGTATGGATAAGGCCATGCAATTGGGAAGCAAAGTAAGGAGCATTCTTACCAATCCAGACACTCTCCTAGCAAAGAACATCAAAAAGAATTGTTGGGAACCCTAATTTTAATGCGTTGTAATTGTTGGAAACTATAACTCTAGTATTGCTCTCGATCGCATAAGTTGGGAGTTTTTTCCCTCCTTTGGGAAAATTATTGGCAAGGACACTACCAAAATTTTCTTTCAATTAGTGTGTGGAATAAAATCTTTGCAAAGATATTCCTTTAATTGAAACTTGTTCTTGTTAAGTCCTCTTTATATTCAACCTCTGCCCAATTACTTTTGAGATGGTAAACCCAATAGCTATTGATTGTTATTAATTATATGGATGATAACACACAAGATCATTCCAACTTCTAGTTTTATTAAGAACCCACTCCAGCAGAAAATCAAAAAGTTTTTTACTTATACGACTAAAACTAGTTGAGAGAGAGATCAATATACTTCTCATTCCCGAAAGCTTAAAGCTTCAAAACCTTTTAAGTGAAGTTCACCTGCTTGCTTGAGCTCGATTGTTTCTAAGATTGTCCAGCTCTCCTCTCCAGTCCCCTCCGGTCATTAGATACGCCTTTGAGAAAGATAAAACATTCTATACATAGAATAAATTGAAGATGGTTGAACTAGTTTTGCTGATCCTTATACCAGAAATGAGATTGAAAAGTCAAGACTTTTATGCTTTGCAGATACAGGCCTCGTTAGAAAACAAAAACGAGTAAAGTGAAAAATGAATTCCTTGTCGATCTTAACTCTCAACCCCCTAAAGGGTATAATAGAATTTCATGAAAAGGCTACCATTTATCAGGATTTGGCATGGTGTTTCTCGGACACATTGAATGGTTTAACCCCTCTATCTTCCCCAGATTTCTTAAAGTACCTCCTATGGTTTAGGAAATTGATTAATTATATCCCTATTGTTTACATATTGTCTTAAATATCATGATATGTAAAAGACTATTTTACCTTCCACTTTTTAAATTTTCAAGAGTATATCCATCTTTGTCTACTGTGTCGACATTCCTAGTGCCCAATTACCCACTCTAAGAGATCGAGAACCCTTGCCTTGACTGAAACTCAAGCTTCTTGCACTGATCCAAATATCCATGAACGGTTTCACAGTTCCACCGATTTGAAGCTTGATAAAAGCCACTCGCTTGAAGCAATCTGAAGCCATTGAGTACTGATTGAGAATGTGAAAGTTTTTCCCTAATTTGCAAAGAAGTGTCTTGGAATGGGTTGGTTCTATTTCCAGTGCCCGGTCGCAACCCTCTAACGCGTCGGAAATATACCCCATTTCCCTCTCTCCTCCTCTACTCCTCGTTGAACTCCCCCTCTTCCCTCTCCTTCTCGTTCTCTTCCCTAGTGCCATAAGGGAACCGTCGGAACCACCGAGGCCAGATGCATGGGCGAGGTAAAGGGCAGGAGCGGCCAGTTCTTCCTCATCTAGAATTCCATGGTAGGTGAGGTAGCATTCTTTTTGGGATAAAAAGAAGCTTGGATCCATGAAACGACAG